AGCTATCGCACCTGGTGAGGACCCTGTCTCTTAAAGAAAAGGAAAAAGAAAGCTGTTCCTGCAAAAGCTGATGGCATTATAAATTGATTCTTCTGGAAAGCAATATGGCAACATGTAACAAAAACTATGAAGATGTTCATTCTCCACTTGGTATTTTCCTGTTTGTGAATACTCCTTAAAGAAATAATCCAGAGGAGAAAAATATTCACAAATGTCCTGGCAACTGCGGTTATAATAGTGAAAAAACCTGGACGCAATCCAAGTGTCTAACAGGGAAATGACTAAGCAAACAATGGGATTGTAATACAGCTATTAAAAAATTACAGAGGTGAGAACTATGTCAACATAGAGAAGTGTGCATCTGCAGGAACGTTAAGTAGAAAAAAGAACACAGACTCATGTTTAAGGACGTGTGTTTACATACCGAAGATTGGAGACCAATTTGGAACAATGAAAATGGCTACAGTTCAGTGTTCACTGGGTCTTTTTTTTCCTGTGCAGTTCCATGAATTTATGACAATAATAGTTGAGATTCCATGTGATATAGATATCTTAAAAGTCTTCTGCAGAATAAATACTCACATTATACAAGGTCATATATACCAGGAGATAATCTGATATTAAATTCTCAAATTGTTATGAGAATAATGATATTTCTTCAAGTGAACTTTTCTTTTAGTTAAATTCTGGCCAGGTGCAGTGACGCACGCCTGTAGTCCCAGCACTTTGGGAGGCCGAGGTAGGAGGATTGCTTGAGCTCAGGAGACCAACCTAGGCAACATAGCGAGACCTCGTCTTTACAAAAAAAAAAAAAATTAGCTGGGCATGGTGGTGTGCATTTGTAGTCTCAGCTACTTGGGAAGCTGAAGTGGAAGGATTGCCTGAGTCCAGGAGGTCGAGGTTGAGGTAAGTTGTGATCGTGACTCTGCACTGCAGCCTGAGTGACAGAGTGAGACTATGACTCAAAAAAAGAAAAATTCAACAAGCAACTCTGAGAGTTTAACTATAAGCTAAGGCACTTAAAATCTCCTGAAATTCACAAAAAACACTGGCAAAAATTCCCAGGTGAAGTGTGTTATTATTTTAATTTACTTTATTTGGGTGAATATACACATTCGAACATATTACAAAAAAGTCTGGAAGACCTTTGGCCTAAACCTCACATTCAAAAATTGTTTCAGTTTTATATTTTTGATGTTGTTTCTAAAAGAGGTCCCTATAGATTGCCACTGAGATAAACTGATAAGGATTAAAGGGAAAAAGTCAATATCATATGACTCTAAAGTTATGTCATCAGCCGGGCTCAGTGGCTCAGCCTGTAATCCTACACTTTGGGAGGCTGAGGTGAGTGAATTGCCTGAGCCCGCGGGTTCGAGACCCGCCTGGGCAACTTGGCGAGACCTCATCTCTACAATAAATAAAAAAAAATTAGCCGGGTGTGGTAGCGCGCGCCTGTAGTTCCAACTACTGGGAAGCTGAGGCGAAAGGATCGCTGGAGCCCAGCATGTCGAGGTTGCAGTGACCGGGAGCGGCCACTGCACTCCAGTCTGGATGACTGAGTGAGACTCCAACTAAAAAAAAAAAAATTAATAATAATAGTTTTTGTTTGTTTGAGTTGGAGTCTTACTCTGTCACCCAGGCTGAAGTGCGGTGGCACGCCCACTGCCAGTGCAGCCTCGACCTGCTGGGTTTAGGTGATTATTCTGCTTCAGCCTTCCAAGTAGGTGGAACTGCAGGTGTGTGCCACCATGCCTAACTAAATTTTTTATTTATTGTAGAGACGAGGTCTTGCTAAGTTGCTTAGGCTGGTCTCAAACCCATGGGCTCAGGCAATCCTCTCGCTTTTGCCTCCCAAAATGCTGGGATTATAGGCGTGAGCCACAGTGCCCAGTGAAAAAGTTATAGTTTTAACTAGGGGCCTACAACAAATGGGCTGTTAATAACCTAACTGTATAAACACCTAACTAACACTCCTGTGTACTAGCCTTACTGTTTGTGCTGTGGTTAGAAATGTATCCAGTGGTCAGAAAACGACCAGCTTTTAGATCAGTGGTTCACAAACCCAACTGCAGGTAGGAATCACCTGCATTTTCCCTGACTCCACTCCAGACCTCCTGAATTAGATTCTCTAGTGCCGGGTCCTGCAGATCCCTATGTTGTAAAAGCTCTCAAAACCTCTTTTCCTTCCACTACTGTTTCCTTACGGTTGTAGGACTCAGAATTCAAGCTAATACTGTTAGTGCTACAGTTCAACTACATCAAGAGTTTAACAGATCTAGGCTAGGTGTAGTGGCTCATGCCTGTAATCCCAACACTTTGGGAGGCTGAGATAGGAGGATCTCTTGAGCCCAGGAATTTGAGGCCAACCTAGACAATGGAGCAAGACCTCTTCTCTACAAATAATCAAAAAAATTAGCCAGGCATGGTGTGTGCCTGTGGTCCCAGCTACTTGGGATACTGAGGTGGAAGGGTCACCTGAGCCCAGGAGGTTGAGACTACCATGAGACGTGATTGTTGTAATCATGATGTTGTTGTAATCATGATGCCAGGGCACTCCTGCCTGGGCAACAGAGTAAGACTTGGATCCAAAAGAGAGGGGAGAGAGAGAGAGAGAGAGAGAGAGAGAGAGAGAGAGAGAGAGAGAGAGAGAGAGAAAGAGAGAGAGAGAGAGAGAGAGGGAGAGAGAGAGAGAGAGAGAGAGAGAAAACAGATATGAAGGTTAGTCTGAGGACCAACCACCACTGTCAATGTAGTCTCTTCGAAGTCATGTATTATGAGTGCCCAAGAAACAATTTACTAATGAAGTTTCAGGATGCAGTCCACAGATTTTTTTTTTTTTTTTGATGGGTGGGAACTGCCCACATAGAACTTGTGTTCTTCAAAACACCCTCAATTGTTTCTCAAATTTCTTATTTTGCTTTACTATATGAAAGTAAAGAAATGCTGAATCAAAAGTGTTAAGTTCAAGAGTTAGTTTGTGTAAATAATGTGAAGTACCAGGATTTTGTAGACAGTAAAACTTCTACTAGTCCAAACTGTAAATAACTAAATTTTTTTTCCTCCATAAAGAGGCAAATATAGAAAAAAAAATGGGTTTTCAACACAGAGAAAAACAAATTCTGGGTTATGGGCTGAGGTCAGCACACATGCTGTCCATTCTTCTATGCCTTCTAGTTCTCTATCCTGCTTCTGTTCTAGGGATTATTGATACTCTGAGGGAGACCCTGTATCCTAGCAAAATTCCTTATTCGTGGGTGGGCAGTGGCTCACACCTGTAATCCCAGCATTTAGGGAGGCTGAGGGGAGAGGATTGCTTGGGTCCACAAGTTTGAGACCAGCCTAGGGAACATAGCAAGACCTTGTCTCTGAAAAAAAAAATTAATTAGCCAGAGTGGTGGCACACTTGTAGTCTCAGCTACTCAGGAGGCTGAGGCAGAAGGGTTGCTTGAGCCCAGGAGGTTGAGGCTGCGGTGAGTCATGATCCTGCCACTGCACTGCAGCCTGGATATCAGAGTGAGACCCAATACAAACAAAACAAAACAAACAAAACCAAACGAAAATACCCTCATCAATGAAGTAAAGATTTAATTGTAGGGGAGAACGGACGGGAATGGCAGTAGTGGGATACTGCCAGGGGAGGTGGGGACATACCTCATCAATATGGGTACCTGCATAATGAACATTTGCATACCTAACCCTGAATTGTACCCCATATCTTCAAAATTAAAAAATTAAAAAGGCCGGACGCAGTGACTCAAGCCTATAATCCAAGCATTTTGGGAGGCCAAGACGAGAGGCTTGCCTGAGCTTGAGGGTTCGAGACCAGCCTGGGCAACATGGTGAGACCTCGTCTCTACAATAAATCAAAAAATTAGCCGGGCGTGATAGCACGCACCTGTAGTTCTAGCTACTTGGAAGGCTGAGGCGGAAGGATCGCCGGAGCCCAGCAGGTCGAGGCTGCGGTGGCCGGGAGCAACCACTGCACTCCAATCTGGGTGACAGAGTGACTCCAACTCAAAAAAAAAAAAAAAAAAAAAAAAAAGAAGGGTGATGGATGTACTTGGGGCACTGTGGTAGAACTGACTTCCCAGGCTGAGCTCCAACAATGTCTGCATGTCCCAGAGATAGCTGTCCTCCATGTGATCTGGTCTGTGCAAGTCCACAGAAGCTACATCCATTCTTCCCCCCTGAATTATCAAAATAATTGCCCTTCAGCCTGTGCTTCACTAACTTGTAGGCAGAATTCACTCATTTAACGATCCCACGGGCTACAGTTGCTAATTCACATGAAAACCCAGGAAGTGAATTCCCCGCTGCTGTTCAAAGTGTATAATTAGCTCCTTGTGCAGCCTGACCCCACGGATTTTTCTGACGCTTTTGGCCTGCATTGTGCCCTTTCTGAGACCACGGCTGTCTTCACAGCTGGAGATGCCCAAAGCTGCACGCAGCACTTCCTGTGGGTGTGGCCTTGCATTCTCAAGGCTGCACACACAAAGGATCACAGGCTTCAACCACTCACAGATTCACAATGCCTTTTTAAAATATAGAATTTGAGTATGAGTGGCTCTATCAGATAGAAGACAGCTTTCCAACACCTTTTTTTAAAAGAATTGATTTTGTAATGGTGGCCTCTCGAGAAACACTATAATTGGTCAGCCTGGGGTGCATCTGAAGGCCACCCTTACCACGTCATTCGCTATTCTCAGGAGAGGAAAGGCAGGGTGTCCCCCATGGGAGAATGACGACACACTTGTTTCAAGTTAGGGAAGAGCCTGCGGTTCTCTTCCTGCGTTTGGGGGAAAGCGAACACACAATGTTCATTTCCTAAATACGGGATGTGCTGTGCTGGCAGGTCATTTTCCACCATGTCACATCCTTCTGGATGAAGGCAGCAGGGGCCAGAACAGGAAATGGCAAATACTCAGAATGAGACAAGGCTTTCCCAGGGCAGCCATTGGCCCTCTGGACCTATAAAGCATACTCATCCAGAAACGGTCCCAGATTTTTCTTTCCTGGAGCCAGCCAGAAGTGAATGGTAAGTGGGGGGGAGACATACTGTCTGAAAACAGTCATTGGACTTGTAATACTGGGGTTGTATCCTTGGCCTATAATATATTGGGGATGGCTTTTTCTCATTTTCTCTTCTTACTTGGAAACTTATCACTGGTGGGGATTATAGAAGCATGCAAGTAAAATGAAGACGGATGAGTCAGGAGACCAGGTCTCTAGATTGGGCTCTGTGAAGAATCAGCTACATCTAGAACATGTCTGTGTTTTGATATCCTCATCTTCCTGATGAGAATAATGATTTCTACCCTGATAGCTCATGGTTTTGAAATGCTATTTCTATGGCTTATTTGCCACTTTTAGGAAGTTCTGAATAATGAAGAGTACAGCAGTGGACATAAAGATGGGAATCTGTGGCAACTAGGATGTACAGTTCTCTTCTTGTTAGTCACCTTTAACTGGCTTCAATTCAACTTGGTACTAGGTAGCCCTCGGTGAGCTGCTGAACAAAAATTTAGGCCAAAAATTTATTCAGTCCTTATTCATTTTTTAAAGGAAGTTTCCATAATAAAGAGACATAGTGGTATTAATTTAACTTAGTTTCAGCCGGGCTCGGTGGCTCAGCCTGTAATCCCGTGCCTTTGGGAGGCTGAGGTGAGTGGATTGCCTGAGCCCGCGGGTTCGAGACCCGCCTGGGCAACTTGGCCAGACCTCATCTCTACAATAAATCAAAAGTTAGCCGGGCGTGGTAGCGTGCGCCTGCAGTTCCAGCTACTTGGAAGGCTGAGGTGGAAGGATCGCCGGAGCCCAGCAGGTCAAGGCTGCGGTGGCCGGGAGCAGCCACTGCACTCCAGTCTGGGCGACAGAGTGAGACTCCAACTCAAAACAAACAAACAAACAAAAAACTTAGTTTCAATTAACCACCCTTCAAAGATTGAGATTTCTGAAGACCCAAGGAGTCCTAATTCGAATAACAGTGCAAACCTCATCTTAGGCTTGATTCTAAAATAAGAGACTGAAACAATCTCAAGCAGAAGCATTGCATAAGACAAGTATCTATCTTAGAAAAATTAGTTTCTTTTATTTGGTAGACAATATGATTTTTGAGGTGACTTGTCCTTTTCACTTATTAGAGAAAGAGAGAGAGAATACTGTGTTGTAAAGCTCCTAGGATCCAAATCTTCATATGATGAAAGGCTCTGTAAACTGTGCAACCTACCACTTGTAGGTGTTATCTTTCAGAGGCGTGGCGTGGTGGCTTACACCTGCAATCCCAACACTTTGGGAAGCCGAGGAGGGAGGAGTGCTTGAGACCGAGAGTTTGAGACCAGCCAGGGCAACATAGCAAGACCTCGTCTCTATTAAAAACAACAAAACAAAACAAAACAAAACAAATCCCGAGCCAAGGCCTCAGTATTGCATCCGCCTTCTAATAAACCCCCTCCCCAGTTTAAATCTTATTTAACAGATTATAATTATCCCTAGCGTTCTCTGGGAGAGAAGAAGACACCATGACTCCTATTTTCAAACGCGAGTAGAAAGTCCTGAGAATTTGGGTGACTCACACCAGATCCCAGAACAGATCACTGAGAATGAGACGCATGACCCGCTGGAAACGGCCCCGCTTCCCCCAGCTTGGCAGTAGCTGATGCATTTAACTCTTGGCCACTGCCGCCCGCGAGTGTGCTGACTGCACGTCTGTGTTCCCGCAGGGCATGGAGAGGCCACCGGCTTGGGAGCCGCGAGACGCCGACGCGCTGCGGCGATTCCAGGGGCTGCTGCTGGACCGGCGCGGCCGG